GGGGGGGGGGGGGGGGGGGGGGGGGGGGGGGGGGGGGGGGGGGGGGGGGGGGGGTCGGGTCTACAGGAAATTGCAAAAGAATGGAGACAAGCTGTGTTGTGGTGGATTTGAGTTTGGTTGTTCCCGTGCAATACCTTGTCTCAAGAAATAACCCGACGTACGGGCAATGAATCCCCCCGTGTTTTCTGCGCAGTCACGCCACGTTCCAGGTGAAACCCGCCAGAGTTGTGGTTGATTCGACGTGCACGTTGGGCGGTTACAACGAGCTGCTACTGAATCGAACGGTTGTGTGTAGCATGTTGCCCATATTTCACACGCGCGTCGACCCGCACATCGTATGCGCGTTGTCCCACTAGAGTCTGTTTCCAACAAGAGTCGATGTCTCCTTGGCGTTGCTGCCATGTTTCTTTGGTGTGCGCGCGGCGACTTCATCCACACGCACACACCCACTGGTCACGCCCCCGCCCCCCCGGTTTCGTAATCCGTGAGCCCCCCCCCCCCCCCCCCCCCCCCCCCCNNCCCCCCCCCCCCCCCCCCCCCCTCCTCTTGATATGTCCAGTATTCAAAGGGTATGTGGGGGCCGAGGTAACCAAGCCGGGGGTACCTAAATGTATGTTTTTCCCACCTGTTTCAACAAACGCCTACTACTGCACGCTTGGGTTTTGGACAGGCAAAGGAGCCAGTGTTGGGTCTCGGGGATCGAGGAGGCTGACGGGGCGGGGGTCGGTTGGGTTCGCTCTTGCGCCCCTGGATGAGGTGGAGAGCATGAGGGTGGAAGTGGTGAGTGCTGTGGTGTGTCGCCTGTTTTTTTGTTGCCACAAACAGTGCCATCTTGTCTACAGGTTCTCGGGTATATGTTGGGTGTATTGCTGTCCATGGAGTATAAATATACAGCAGCTTTCGTGTATTTGCGTGGCGTTTTGTCCGTGGAGTATATGGCATAAGTGAGAAACTTTGGCAGTAAATTATGTGGTGGTCGATGCAGCAGAGCGACTGGCGGAGTATGTTTGAAACCACAGGAGTGCACGAGAGAACACCACGCGAGGGCGCGTGTGATTGGGCATATATAAATCGCAAGAACATGTAGAGTGCGTGACAAAACAACTCGCAACGCAACGTGTGTGCCCCGGCCTAACCTGCCAGGTGGTCCTAACCCTAGCCCTAGCCCTAACCCTATCCCTGGCAGGTGATTCACGGGGAGTCCTTCATCGTTACCGCGGGGCCCAATGACAGCGTGCGGTGGCTGCAGCAGGAGGCGTCTGCTCTCTTCTCGAAGGAGCACAACTTCCGCACCCACGTCGTTCAGGTGTTTAGGCTATTTGTTGCCAATGCCGTTTTTGATCATTCCCTCACTCTGCTGTTGTTTCTGCGTGTTTGTTGCCGATTGCGAGGATCCGTTACACTCTGTTGTTTCTACAGTTTCACCGGGTTTCTGACTGTTTCGGTGCCCATTTTTGCTTGGCACCCTTATGCACCACCTTCTCGAGTTCTGGGAAGGAAATGAACGATTTTTAGGGAGGAAGTGAGACACCACGGGGATGACTGTCACACGGGCATGAAGCTGTTGCTCCGAGAATATTTGTGACGTTTTTGCTGTAATAGCAGCAGTCATCATCGCCGGTCGCCCGTTTCATCGTACGGTCTGAGACTGACATCCTTGGTGCCCCCCCCCC